TTTTCATGTAGATCATTTAACTCGTCTTTAAAAAAAACAGAAGAATATGTCTACTTTAAAATGGTTTGAGATGGACTAGATTTGCCAAAATGTTATTAAAATCTTAACCCCAAAATGTGAAGAGTTGTTTAATTATTTTGTTAAATAATGTGATYATATCTACGTATGACTGCTCATAATGTCAAATTATCTTCAGTCTTTTCAGTTTTAGTGGGACTTTCTATTTTTTTTATTTGATATAGTTTCAATGGATGGGTCTTTTATTCTTAATGCCCACTACTATGCACAAACAACTTACTTTTGCCTAAAATGGAAAAAAAAAATATAAATCTGTTGTCGTTCTTCAGTTGTTTGTTTTGCTCGAGGTCTAATCAGCAATTATGTAAAAATCAAGGTAAAAAATTGTAATTTTTGCTGAGTGTGCTGCACTAGGGGAGCTTCAAGAGTCACCACAAGCCTGAAATAAATTTAAGAAAGAAAAAAAACCAGAAAGAGAACAATTTTACCAACCGCAGCGTTTCACATGGAGGCTTTGAAACTGACAGGAGCACCAACCCGTAGATAAAGAGAGATGCAACGGATCCATTTCACCTGTCTGCACAGCAGTTGGCAGCTCACATTTTTTAGTCATGCTGTGAAGGGGCTGACTCCTGCTGTTCGGTCAAAAATTAGAACTCATATTTCTCAGAAAGTTATGCCCGTCAGAAATCGTGCTCCGCCACAGAGTGTAGGTCCCCACATTCAGGAAGTTCCGCTTTGTTATGACAGCCTGTASGGTTGTTCTTGGATGCAACGCATCAGACCCATTTCTGGGGCTCCTGGAGAAGGAAGCAGTCCCTTTGGATCAGCAGGTCCAAATAAATTTTAAAGGTTTGTGTAAATTCAAGTTTTAGCATTCTGCAAAAGAAATGAATTTTGCCTGCTGCATTTCGCGACAGTTATAAACTACAATCATAATGTTGAAATAACCGTTATGGCCAACACATCAACACTACGTTATGCAATATCTCACATGATCTGTTTGGAGGATGTGTTGAGAAGAACTCTCAGCTACAACCACCACATATTTTTGCTTCGTATCTAAAAGATCAACTGAGTTCTTGCCAATCAAAGTAATTAAGATTGATTAAAGGAGTGCCTGGGAAGACAAATTACTTTATTTTTATTATTAATTATTTTTTTATTTAAAATTATGTGACTGGTTAATGTGTGCCGTGGTATTAAACAGCCCTATAAAAATAAAAATGGAAAAGTAAGCAATGATAAAGTTTTATTTGTTTGCGTCCTCGCTTTGTGACAGTCAGCCTAGACAATTTGTTGTGTTTCACTACAAGAGACGAGGGCAGCCTTAGATTTATTGTTTTAGCATTAATTCATGTCAGTCTGTGTGAATGAGCTGCAGGAATTATGAAGGTAGCACTGATAAAAGCTCACATCACTAACCTCTCATTTTTTGTCAACACTTTTCTGTCCATCCACTCATCCATACCTACATCCACATCATTCTAAGAAAAAAAATAAAACTGTTTTAGTTGAATATTTGTGTTCCAGCCAGAAGTATATTTTGCACACATTGTTTGTGTGTATTCTTGTTTGTTTACATATATATATGTATGTATGTATGTATGTATGT